GTTATTTTAATAAATTTTTATTCAAAAATTTAAAATACTTTATTTTTAAAAAAATATTTTTTACCTTTTTATATAATATTTTGTTAAAATAATATAATTTTAAAATAATTTTTTTCTTAATATCTTAAAACGAGTAAATACTAACCATTTTTTTAATTACTTCTCACCTATTTTAAAATTTAAACTTAAATCTCCGACTCAAGATTATAATCTCTAAACCATCACCTGAGATACTGCCTTGAAGGTGCAACACAGCCTTTAATTAATGGTTAAAAAGTGTGCGGTGCTGAAGTAGGACGAACTGCAACCAGCATGCTCTTAAAATATGGGGCAGCAAAATGAAATATGGGCGGTATTTTTTGTTTGTTACAGACGGGAAGGGGAGATGGGTTAGTGTATGCGCGCTAGGCCCAAAAGTGTTTCGGCTATGGGCATTCAGCCTCTTGGGCCGGTTGACAGTGCACCCAAGTTCCTCAGTCATGAGCTGTGTATTAAATGTGAAAAAAATGTACCCAAAAAAATAGTGGAAAAAAAAATTGTAAATAAGGAAATTAATTTTATTTTTTATTTAAATATATTAATTTTATTATTTTAAACAAAAATATTTATTTTTTGTTTTTTATTTAAGAAGTAATTAAATGATAATACTAATATAATAAGTAAAACTCTTAATTAAAATATCAAAATGACACTTTTAAATAAAAAATTTTAAAATTAATATCTTTCAATAAAAACTTTGAAAATTAATAAAATTAATACTTTTAAATAAAAAAATATAAAATTAATATATTTATTTAGATATTTCCTCATCAAACACTTGATGTAAGAAGTCTTCATTTCAAAATTTTCCCCCAGTGTTAAAAAATAAAAAAATAAAAATAAAAATCAGAAAGCAAGAAAGAAAGTGGTTTGACTAGGATCATAGGATGCATGGATACGAAGGCTGGAGGTAGACGGGGCTTGTCCTCCACTCAGTTGATGTGATGGGGTGATTGGTTGGTCTATAAATTGAGATTCTTTTAGTTGAGTAGTCTTGTGCCCTAGAGTTCATATTAATCTTTTCTTTTATAAAATTTTTTAAATTAAAAATATAAAGATATTTTTTAATATAAATTATCTTACAAATTTATTTAAATATTTTTAATTAAAATATTTTTATATTATTATATTAAAAAATTATGCTTTTAATATATAATTTAATTTAAAATTTTAATTTTCTTAAAAATATATACACTCACACCGAATCAAGGTTTGAGTACTAGCTGCATTCCGCAAGCTAGTATTTCTCTCTTTAGTTAGATTGAGGTTTGTTTTTTTCACCAATTAATCCTTCTTGTGTTTTGTGTGTGAGCCGTGAATAGGCTTCCCTTCCTTGGGAAGTAGTTAGTTACTTTTCTATTAGAAGATAATAAAGGGGACTAGTTAGTATTTAAATCATCTTAATAGCTTTTTTTTTTAAATAAATTATAATTTGAAAAGAAGGATTCAAACTCTAATTTTAAAATTAAAGTTACATTCCATGAAAAAATATATAACCACCAAGTTACGAAAACATAAGTACCATCTTAATAGCTCTTTAATGGTACTTTTGACCTTAACTTTGATGGTAGAGTACACCTAATGAAATAGCAAATGCCATGGTCCACACGTAGTGGCAAACTCTTGGAGATTTAATTATAGTTATTCAGTTCCTTTCATTTAACTCCATTTATGAACCTTCGTAGAATTGTTAAGAGTAAGTTTATTTTTTTAATTCAAATTGATATTTTAAATATAAGATAAATTATACATCTAGTTCTCATGACTCAATAATTATATATCACACTATATAATACATTTCTTATTCTTAGGATTATGGTTGAAATCCTAACCCCAAATTTGTAATAAGTTAAGAAAATATATAAGATAAAAAATAAGAAATATTTTCTTCATGTAGTTATTTCCTAATTAAATTCTTTCGACATTCAAAAAAAAATTAAGAGAAGATTCATTTTACACTTTTTTATTAGGGTTCAATTCCGTAAAAGAGTTAATAAAAAACTAATATTTTTATAAATTTTTAGATTTTAAAATAGTTAATTTCCTTTTAATCTAATTGAAGAGTAATTAATTTTAGCAATTTCTCGTATGACTTAATGGAAGTCACACTGTTTATTGAGTAATAAGTAAATTGTATCTAATTCTAAAATTCGATTTTCTCTAATAACAATAAATATTAACACTTAATCTAATTATTTTTTTTGTAAAAAAATAATTAATTTTAAAATACCTATAAATTAATTAAAAATATTAAATTATAAAATAATTTAAATTATAAAATAAAAATCGTTAAATTTAAAAAAACTCTTAATATTACTAAATTTATTTTATTTAATAATTAAAATTATATAATTTAAACTAATTTAAATTACATAATATTTTTTAAAAAATGGTAGCCGGTTGACTGTCATATCACTAACGTTCGGTCTTTAGAAGGGACTTTTACGTCTCCATCAGGCCCCCCCAACACAACATCAGCTAAAAAATTAAGTAGACGAACTGTCATGATTAAACTCTTCTTTCTCTATATCCTCAAAAAAAACTCTTCTTTCTCTTCTCTTTTTTTTTTTTTTTTTACTTTCTAAAAACATTACAGGGCCTTTATTTGTTTTTTTCTTTGAACTGAAGTTAAACCGTTAATCTTCTGATTTGGTGTTCGAATTATTGTATGAATTTTTAATTTGGTATTTAAATTAAAAAATTTTTAATTTGATCTTTAAATTATTATACGAACCCTTAATTTGATTCTTATTGTTTATCAATTTATCGTAAATTAATCATTTCGTACAAAAAATAACTGACATATCTGTTACTTAACAATAAAAAATAATAACTTAAAGATAAAAAATAGTAATTTAACAATCATGTGTTACGTTAATAATAAAACAATATCGGTTGATTTTTGTATGAAAGAATCAACTTGGGGTCAATTAATAAATAGTATGACTAAATTAGAGGATGTTCAATAGTTTATGGACCAAATCAAAAACTTTTTTAATTCAGAAGTCAAATAGAAGGTTTATACAATAATTCAAATACCAAATTAAAAATTTAATCGAAGTTCAATTCGTTTATTTCCTCCATAAATCTGTTTGAACTTTGAACCCCTTGTTTTGTTGACACGTGTCTCAAAATTTTATTTTCAAAAATAGTGGCAATTAAAAATCATGGCCCCGCAGTAGTACAACTATTTAAAGATTTTTACACAACACAACGTACGACAGTCGACACGTAGCCTGTATTGTCCCACATCTAAACAACCACCCTATATATAAGTGTCAGTAACATGCAACAGCATCCAAACAGGCCCCGGCAGAGAGAACAGAATTCGGCAAAGATCAAATGCCAGTCCTTATCTGATGAAAAATGTCAATTTTAAGTTGGACAATCATATTCAAAAATCAAAATTCATACTGTTGATAACAACACTGCATTCACAGCAAATTCATCTTTATAATGCTAAATGGAATTCTTAACTTTGTCCGGCTTGAGAGAGGAGATAAGAGGGATATAAAAAAATATATATTCCTTTCTTATTAATTTCGTTTTCTTTAAATTAAATAGGAGTAAATAAATGTATAATTGAAGACAATAGGTTAAAGTAATTCTTGATCAAATTTTAATTATAATTTGATAATAGTATTTTTCAATCTTAAATTGCATAAAAAGAGTAGTTTAGATTATAAAAGTATAAAAATACCTTCAACAAATCTTATTTAATGAATTCTATTTAATAAGAGAATTTAAATATTTTCATGATTCGAACTTAACTAGTCCAAACTAAAAAAACTATTTATGTTATAATTTTGTTAATGATAACTTTCATAAATGAATTGATTAAGGGGTTTTTTTTTTAAATTTTAAGTTATATAATAAGAAACAATCATCTACTATTCTTTAGTATATCTCTACTTATATATCATGTAATTTAAATTCAAAACTTTTTACTTTTACTTAAAATATATTACAACTGAATAATTTAAATCATTAATAATTAAATAAGGATTTTTACTTGAAGTTATTGTATAGTAACGTGATTGTTATTGTAACTTTTATTATGGTTTAAAATTAAATAATGTATTTTATACTCTCTTCAATTGAATTTATTTGTTTCAATATATCTTTTTATGTAAAATTTAATTAAATAATTTTATATAGTAAAAAATTGACAATTAAATAAATTTTTTCTATCCATAGTATTTTATTAAATATTTTTATTTAAATGAAAAAAATTTTAATTATCATTGATTTATTATATAAAATTATCAACTCAAACTCTATGTATATAAATTGAGAAACTAATTCTGACACATGAGGGAGTAATTATTCTTTAAAAGCCTTGTACATTTATATACAATTATCAGAATGTATAAAATAATAATTATAATAAAATTTGTTTGTCAATAAAAGTCATCAACTAGTAATCATTTTCATTTAAAACTTACGCCCTTTTTTTTAACATGAGAGACTTTTTAAAATGTACACCAAGAAGCAACAGAGCCACTTCTTTTTGTTGGTATACTAAATAAAAATATTAGTTATATATTGGGTATTTTAAAGTTGTAAACTCCAAACTTTAACCTATATATCATGGCTTTTAAATTTACATAACCACCTCATTCAATATATGTAGAAAGGGCTGGCCTAAATTGAACTTGGATATGCATGATTGGAGAGAACACGTTAAAAGTAATTCTTGGTAAATTTTTAATTGAAAAATAATTGATGCACAGTATATTATTTTTTTTA